GAGACAGGGTCTCTCCATGCAGTTCAGGCTGGCCTTGAGCTCATTTTGTAACCCAGGCTGGTCTTGAACTTGCAGCGATCCTCCTGCCTCAGCCTTCCCAGTGCTGGAATTACAGGTATGTGCCAGCACGCCCGGCTGGAATTCATTTTTCTCCAAATCTTTTCAGAAATAAATTGATCTTCCCTTATAGTGAACATGCTTTGTTTAAGTATTATTGCTTTATTTAGGTTCATTTTATTATTTATTTATTTATTTTTGTCTTTTTGAGATAAGGTTTTACTAATGCAGTTCAGGCTGGCCTTGAACTCACTTTGTATCCTAGACTACTAGCGTCTAACTTGCAGTGATCCTCCTGCCTCAGCCTCCTGAGTGCACCACCATACCTGGCCTACTTAGGTTCATTTGTAGGCGACACAAGGGATACTTTGGCTAAGATTACTGTATTCTGTGTGATATAAATCTTTTGCTAGAAATGTAATCATGCCTGCCAATGTGGAAACAGTCTTTTTACCAGTATTTTCAAGAAAAACAAAGATATAAATTTTTGGGTTTTTTTTTTTTGTTTTGTTTTTCTTCCGGTACCAGGAATCGAACTCACAACCTTTCACTTGCCAGGCAGGCGCTGTGCCACTGAGCTAAATCCCCAGCCCCTACAAAGATATAAATTAATAATTTTTACTCAGAAAGACAGCATACAAACACCTTTTCTAAAACCATTTTTTCTTTTTTTAGTTAGTATTTGTTGGCAATACATAACTTGTCCTGGAGAATTGGTACGCATACGTACCACATTGTAATCGTTTTTATTTCCCCTTTCTTCTTTGCCCTCCTTTTTTCTTTGTTTGGTTTTTTGAGACAAGGTCTCACTTTGTAGACCAAGCTGGCCTTGAACAGTGCTGGGATTACCGGTGTGCACCGCTATACCTGTCTTGTTTTGATATTTTTCTTAAAGATGTATTTGTAATAAGCGATAGAGTTATATGTGTGTATTACGCATTTGAAGAAATGAGAATAAAAAGATTCCTTCTGAGCTTAAATTTATATGGTCAGTTGTAAGAATC